CTGCGCCACCAAGGAGGGCCAGAACACACTTTTTGCAGGGGTTCATTGTCAGTGTGTCAATGAACACAGTCTCTGTGTGTGGCCCAGAGTGTCTCAGCCCTGCACCTCGAGCTGTAGCTTCAGCCCACAGCACATTGCCTCTTCCCGGCCCCTCTCTATGCCTTTGTCCCCCTTTCAGCTCCTAGCATCCACTCGGCCTGGCTAGTCATCTCACCCTCATCTCATCGCGTCAGGTCCGCTTGGTCCAAAGTGCTGGGTTAAATACAAGACGAACCGATGCAGGCACAGAGGGGTTCCTCCTGTGGACGTGGCCTGGGGACCCGAGACAGAGCCTGAAAAACTGTCACAAGGCGCAAACCCAGAGGGTGAGAACCCAGGGAAGCTTCACGGAAGAGGGGGCGCCAAGGCTTACAAAGGGGGATGGGAGTTTTCTGGCAGAAGAGATGGGGAGGGACATTTCAGTGGGAAGGGGTTGGGAGTGCTGGGCATTAGCTGAGGCATGAAGGAGGCTTGAGAGCATTGTGTGACTTAGTTAGAGATTTGGGGGTGCTTCAGGAGATGGACTCGAGTGGAAAGATCTAGATGGGCCTTTAGTGCCAGGAATGTGGACCTTATCTTGGAGTCAAAGGGCATCTTAAACCACACTGGCTCTTTCCCATTTTGCAGGATGGTGGGTGGAAAAGCTGAGATGGTGGCGACGAAAGAGAAGAGACCAGAAGCCCAGAAGGCTGATGTGGGGCAAGGTTCAGAAGGCCCAGGCCAGGCCCCTGAGACAGGGCAGCCCCGCTGCAGTACCCCCACCTGCGGGGTATCCCGGAAGATCCAGGGTTGAAAAGAAAAAGAGGAGCTTCTTGCTGCTGTCACACAACCAGCTGCTGGTGACAGCATGTCCCGGTCGTTGAACTTCACAAAGTGCTTCGGTGTTACCCTGCTGAAGGTGTGTGCCTGGTGAGCTGGTGAGCCACAGCAAAAGCTCCTCCGTCAGCACATGAGAAAACTGATCCTGATCTCTCCTGGGGCTGTTCTGACCATCCCAACAGGGAGTCACAGAGGCAAGATGTGGCTTTCTGGCAGCCCCTGGACAGTGGCTCGCTACTTGTGACTGTCCCCATTAAATTCCCCTGCATAGGACACACCAGAACTCTGTCACCACACCTCTGGTAGCGGTGGTGTGAAGACCCCTAAACATCTCCGTGATGCTGACTTCCAGAAGCCAAGTGAGCCCCGACACCAGGGAGGTGAGGTCTTTGACGAGGGTGACCAGAGAGCCATGGACTCACAACTTCTGCCCGAGATTAAAGCTCAGCCCCAGGGCCGCCTCTGCTGTGGGCGATGCTCGCTGTGGGATTCACCGTCACAAATTGCTGTTCTGTTTCCTACAAAGACTCCAGTTAAATAATGATCCATGCAAAAGAGAGAAAGAAGGGAAGGCCATGTGGAGGAGGAGTTGGAAGACAGAGGCCAGGGAACAGTGGGGCCAGGTCAGGGCAGAGTCCAGAGCTTGGGGGTGGGGTAGTGCCTAATCAGGGCGGTCGAACATCTCTTTTGAGGGTTTCTCAAGCATCTCTATTCAGAGACAGGTGCACTGTCAGAGGCACTGACACAGGAGGCAGTGGAGTGTGGAGCTGGGGCCGGGCGCTGGCGGCCTGCTGTGCCTCTCCTCTGGCCTCCAGAAGGGTGGGGGAATCACTCACCTCTATCCCTCCCGGGGCTCAGGACGGGTCTCACCGAAGGCCTGGGCCCCTCAAGTCCACGCTCGAGGCTGGGCCCTGCGGACACGGGCAGCCGGCGGCGTGAGCCCCTGCTTGTCGGCCCAGCACCTCGCCATCTGCTCAGTCCACGACCCCCGATATCCATCTCATGAATTTTCCCTTTTGGTGCTGGTGGGCACCTTGCTCGTGGCCAGCTGGTCTCCCCCTCGCCCTTGTCTCTGAGGCTGGGTCTGTCTCCCGGAGCGCAGAGTCTCTGCCTCCCAGTCATCCTGGAGAAAGCCTGAGAGCAAGGACTGGGTCCCCCTGCAGGGTGGGGATCTGTGAGGACGGGCTTGGGGCTTCCCGGCTGTACTGGCAGACCCCCGTGGGCAGGGCTGTGCCTCCCGGTTCCCTAGAACAAGTCCTTGGTACCCTGGCCTGAGTGGCTCAGCCCAGAATGGGGGCAGGGAGGGGTTTGGACAGTAATTGCCGTCAGCGGGGAGGCCCGCGCGCTACTCGGCAGGTTTCTATGCTGGAGGGGCTAAGTCTTAGACCTGCTTTCCGGATTACCAAACTCCAGGATCTAGGTCACCCCCTTGGCAGTGCTGTTGATTTATGATGCCCCTGACAGCCTAATGTCATTAAATTACCTCACACAATGGAGAGAGGCTGGGCCACCTCCCGGCAGCCACCGATGGGCGCGCAGCCCGGGGCAGCCGGCGGCCTCCCGGATCCTGGGAGTCTGGGGGCGTCTGGCTGCGGCAGGGCACACCCAGGCGCGCCACCCTCCGTCGGGGTATAAGTAGGCAGCTTGGGGAACAGCTCTGTACCCCGTGCTCGGAGCCAGCAGCACTGCCACGCTTCCCACCGTGAGCTGAGCCATGAGTTGCAGACAGTCCAGCCTGCGCAGCGGCGGCAGCTGCGGGGCCGGCGCCAGGGCCTCGTCCAGCAGCCGCTGTGGTTCCTCCGCGGCTGCTGCGGGAAGGGGCGGGTGTAGCTCTTCCAGCAGCCATCGAGGAGGGAGCCCTGGGGCTTGTGGGAGGGGAGGTGGAGGCGTCTTTGGGTCCAGCTATGGGAGTGCGTCTGGTGGCAGCTTTGGGGGATCTAGAGGCTTTGGGGGAAGCATTGGTGGTGGTTCTGGAGGATGCTTTGGGGGGTCTGGAGGCTTCAGGGGTGTTTCTGGAGGTGGCTTTGGGGGATCTGGAAGTTTTGGGATCGTTTCTGGAGGTTTTGGGGGGTCTGGAGATGGCTTTGGGGGTGTTTCTGGAGGCAGCTTTGGGGGTTCTGGAGGCTTTGGGGGTGTTTCTGGAGGAGGTTTTGGGGGGCCTGCAGGTGGCTTTGGGGGTGGCTTCGGTGGTGGTGATGGTGGCATCCTGGGTGCTGATGAGAAGACCACCATGCAGGGCCTCAACTCCCGTCTGGCCTCCTACCTGGATAAGGTGCAGGCTCTCGAGGAAGCCAATACCCACCTGGAGAATAAGATCCGGGACTGGTATGACAAGCAGGGCCCCAGCGACTCCCCAAAGGATTACTCCTGTTACTATGCCACTATGGAGGACCTCAAAAAACAGGTAGGTGGAGACTGCTCCCCCAGCATCCCTTCACCTCCTTCACAAGCTCTAGCTTCTGGAAAGGTAAGCTGTTCCACTCTAAGCTCAGATACAGCCTGGGAATGCGTCTTTCGGAGACTGAACGTTCATCAGTAGGAGCCTCTGCTTGGTTCCCGGATGCTCCTGGTGCCAGGACACTGTCCTGTGCTCTGGGCTGTCACTGCCATGCCCCAGCTCTCAGTCTGAGCAGGGAAGAAGACTGCGTTAAGAGGGCGACTCCGAGCCTCCCTTGGCCTGGGCCCAGCTTAGGGGTGTGGAGCAGCATGGCGGAAGACAGCCTGAGGTGCCTCTTAGAGCTGGGTCTGGCTGTGGGTGAGCCACCAACTCACTGTGTGACCTTGAGGAACTCGATGCCTCTCTGGATCTGTTCTGTGTCATTTCATGCAAAGGACCAGCGCTCAGCTCCTGCTGGTTTAGAACTTCTACACCTTGTGAAAAAAAGAAGAGGGTAAACTCTGTTGCTGAAAACACGATCAAGCAGCTCAGGCAAAGGGAGTGTCTGTGCCTGTCTCTCCTCTCTGGAGCATTCAGAGATTTCAGCTTTGGGAAATGAGAAACCCTGTTTTTCCCTTCCTGCTTCCTATAGAGGTCTGTCGTGGTCTTTCCAGGCTTGCTGGATCTGGGTACCTAAGCTGAGGAGGTGCAGAGTATCTAGAACCCTGGGGACGGAGTCATCTCTCCCTCCCTCCCTCCCTCCATCCATATGCCCTCCTGGTGATAGCCTCTGCATGTCTTTTGTCCCTACCCCCAAATCTTTTTCATTGTTTTAATCCATGTACAATCTTAGCAATCTTTTATCCATGTACAATCTCAAGGCACCAACTAATTCAGTTGCTTCCTGCCTCGATTTCCCATTGCCACACTTGATCTCTTTTTCAACTGTTTATTGTGTGACTATGTGAAGGCCACATTGGCCATCCGTGGGAAAGGTGGCAAGGACTATCTGCCATGTACCAGTTGCCGGAAGCTTCTCCTACCTCTTGAACGTCTTCCTGGACGGCGTCCTGACCTTCTGTGGCTATGCCTGGTGTCTTGTCCTCTTTCAGCGGGTCATGGCCCGGGGCCTGGGCTCCACACTGTCTCTTCTTGTTTAGATTGTGGACCTCACGGTGGCCAAAAACAAAACCCTTCTGGACATTGACAACACTCGCATGACAATGGATGACTTCAGGATGAAGTGAGTCCAACCAGCTCTCCCCATCCTGGCCTCAATCCTTCCCCACTCCATGGCGCTCTGATGGCCGCTGGTGCAGGCCTGGCGCCCTCTTGCTCACCGCTGCCCCTGGCTGGTCTCAGGTTTGAGATGGAGCACGGCCTGCGCCTGTCGGTGGAGGCCGACATCAACGGCCTGCGGAGGGTGATGGACGACCTGGCCATGCAGAAGTCTGACCTGGAGATGCAGTACACGTCTCTGCAGGAGGAGCTGGCTGCCCTCAAGAAGAATCACGAGGATGTAGGGTCATGGTGTCTTCCGGCTTTCTGGGGAGAGGGAGGCACAGAAATGCAGAGATAGTGGGGACATTGTGGGGTGGGGGCTATGGAACATTGCCTGGAAACACCCTCTCCCTTGCTCCTGAGGACACCCCCGGCCCCTCCTGGACACTGCCTCCCGTGGTGGCTGGGCTCTGGCTTCACAACTGTGTCCCGTTTTGTTCTCTGGGGAGAGCAGAGGGAGCAGGTGGGGGGAGGACTCCACTCCTGGCTTCATCTCCCCTTCCTCCCTGGCAGGAGATGTGCCAGCTGAGCGGGCAGAGTGGTGGGCACGTCAGTGTGGAGATGAATGCGGCTCCCAGCATAGACCTCACCACGACCCTCAACAACATGCGCCAGGAATACGAGGAGCTCAGTGCTAAGAACCGCAAGGACATCGAGCAGCAATATGAGACTCAGGTGGGCAGGGGCCGCTCTTCAGCCTCCGGTGCTCCACCTGGACCCCTGCGTCCACCACTACGTTCCTCTCCCCTCCCCTCCCTTCGCCCCCACCTGCCCTCTCTCACTGGCCACTCGAGGGTCATCCATCACTCTCCGAAGGCTGCTGATGCCAGTCACCCACCTGCCAATCCATCCATGATTACTGAGTAGCTTCTCCGCACCAGGTTATTTGTGAAGGCTGATGTCTCAGAGGCCTTAAGAGTATCGCCCTGAGAAGCTTCTTTTATTAGGCGTGTGTCAACAAAGACAGAGCACGAACAATTTACCCAGGGCTTTGCGCTATGAGACTGTAGTCGAGGGAAACAGTTAACACTGCGCTCCTGTGGCCTCCCCTCATCCCTGGGCGCTCCGGTCCTAGCACAGAGCCTGTTGCCTGTGTGTGTGTGTGTGTGTGAGGGTAAAATAATGTTAGCAAGGCAGTGTAGGGACAGAGTGTGAGTAGTCTTGAAGCTTTGCAGCGAGGGAATGTTAAGTTGGGAGAACTGGACCACCCTGCTGGGCTGGAGGGAACAGAGCTCAGAATACCTGGTCCTCGACTTTGTTTCAGCTTTGGCCTTGAAGCTGAGGGTCCAGGCAAGTGGGGGAGAACCTAGCCCGTGGCGGCCTCTGGTTCCAGCTGGTCCTCACTGAGTTTGGGTTTGCAGATGAGCCGGCTGGAGCAGGAGGTGACGACTAGTAGCCAGGACATGGAGTCCTGCAACAAGCAGGTGATCCAGTTGCGGCAAAGCTTCCAGGGCCTGGAGATCGAGCTGCAGTCTCAGCTGAGCATGGTTGGTAGTTCTGCTCAGGGCCTCTGCTGGGGCGGGCGGGGCACAGCCGGCTGGGCAGGAGAGGTCAAGCGGGAGGGGAGCGCGATGGTGTGGCATCCTCCTTAAGCCTCCCCCTGCCCCTAGAAATCAGCCCTGGAGAAGTCCCTGGAGGACACCAAGAACCGCTACTGTGGGCAGCTGCAGGAGATCCAGGAGCAGATCGGTGCTCTGGAGCTCCAGCTAGCTGAGATCCGGGGGGAGACCGAGTGCCAGAATCAGGAGTACACCCTTCTGCTCGGCATCAAGACGCGGCTGGAACAGGAAATTCAGACCTACTGCAGTCTCCTTCAAGGCGGCCAGGATGCCTTGTAGGTGCACCAGGCTTCCAGGGGCCCCCTGGGAATTCCGAGGCCCCCCGAGACTACGTCAGTTGCTCTGGATGGAGGCAGCCGGGGGAGTCCCTGTGTACAGGCCTGATGGGCCGAGGCCTTCATCCTGTGAGGATCTTGGGGCTTCTGGGCTTTGGGAAAGGAGGCTGCTGCCAGGAGAGGGGAGTGCTCCCCGCTGGAGGGAGAAGCTCGCCCCGCTGCTGTGCTCGGCTTTGCTGGGGGGAACGTGTAGGAGGGACCGTGCCTGGCCTTGAGTCTGTGGGGTCACTCATTTAGTCTGTTTTCTTTCCTGCTCAGTGATTCTTGTGGAGCTGAAAAAAGTGGCTTAGGCGGTGGTGGAGGAAGTGGATTTCAAGGAGGAAGTGGAAGCAGCCATGGAAGAGGACCCCGGGGACAAGGGGCAAGCAGTGGAGGTGGCCACCGGGGAGGAAGTGGAGGCAGCCATGGTGGAGGAAGTGGCTCTGGAAGAGGAAGTGGAGGCAACTGTGAAGAAGGAAGTGGATTCCAAAGAGGAAGTGGTGACAGTTGCGGAGGAGGAAGTGGCAAGTTGCAGTCCTCACCCGCAAAACCTGGCGACTGTGCTGCCGCTCAAGGTAAGGGCCAACTCCAGGGTGGAGGGTGTGGGAAGCCGGGTGTTACTGTCAGAATATCACTTCTTTTTGGCGTCTTGGAGTGTCCGAGGGGCACATGTTCTGAACAGAACTAGATTTTAGGGCGGCCTCTCCACTTACCCTTGGTTCCGAATCGGTCATGGTTTCCGCGCATTAAGGCAGAGGCGTAGATGAAGCTTAGACCAAGTGAACCCAGGACCTGAGCGTCGCTGGCACAGGAGGTGGGTGGCCACGGGGCATTATGTTGTCTATTCCCGCAGTCACTTTACAGATGAGGAAGATAAGCAACATGTTCAAGGTCATACAACCCATACATGCGGGACCGAGCCTGGGGGCTCTGGTAACCAACCCAAGGGTGGGGAGGCCCGATCAGCAACAGTTCTGGGGTCACAGTCTGTGGTTGGCTCACACACACCTGGTGGATGATGCAACAGCCCAAAGGGACAAACAATGAGTGAAATAATCTAAATTTAAGAAAGAATTGCTCAGGAGAACGACCTCTAGGTTGGAGGTTTCCTCTTGTGCATGTTGAATTTTTTTTTTAGATTTATTTATTTATTCATTCATACAGAACTGGGGTGGTACAGGCCAGAGATGGAGAGGTTGACAGGATTCACCAGAGACAGAGTGGGGAGCAGAACAGGCAGATCGAGGAAGTACACTGCTGAGGGGAGCAGCGGGCGGGTCAGGAGAGGTCTGCCGCGCCATGTGGATCTCCTCTGGGGCAGGCTGGGATCGAACTCATGCGGAAGCGGCTTTAGCTTCTCAGTGCAGTGCTTTAACCCGCTGCGCCACCAGGGAGGGCCGCATGTTGAATTTTATAAAACAAAAACTTAGCATGACATTGCTGTACAGTCTGACTGAACGTATTGAGGTCAGAGAGGCCCGGAGGTGCCGGGAGCTGCCCCCCTCTGGGGTGGCTGGTGTGTGTCAGGCGGGGTGCAGGGCCACAGAGGTGCACTGGGGCTGGGCGCCAGGCCTCTGCCTCCTTATGCGGGTCATTTACTAACAAGACTATCTGGAGGAGGAGGCTGCCTCATGACCCGTCACCTTCAGAGCTCGGAGACCATCTGCCATGGCAGGAGAACATCAGAATGGAGGGGCCACAGGACCCCACGTCTTCCCATCTCAGGATTCTCCAGCCCATTGAGTTCTCGTCTCCTTGCTCCCGGCTTCCATCTCCAAGCTCCAGCCTGTCTCCTGCTCTAATCCCTCGCTTTTCCTTGTCACCACCTTTCTGTCTCCACAGGCTACCAGCTGCAATACTAAAGCCCCTCTAAGCTTCTCCTCAGCCCCAGCGGAGTGTCCCCCAGAGAGCACCCGCGTGAAGCCTGCTCCTTGCATCTGGAGTATCCAGCACAAGCCCCAGGCCAGTTTGGGCAGCTGACAGGGCAAGTGTGCTCCTGGCTGCCTGCTGGCTCCCTGCAATGGCGAGACCTCGCTTTTCCTGACTGGTGTGGGGGTGACACCCCTTCCTCCTGATTCTGACTTCCTAATAAAGGTTTCCTACTGCACATCAAACATGGATCTTAATTCATTTGTTCTTTGGGATTAAGAAGGAGGATGAGGGCCCTCCCTGGTGGCGCAGTGGGTTAAAGCACAGCACTGAAAGCTAAAGCCACTTCCGCATGAGTTCGATTCCCGCCTGCCCCGGAGGTGACCACATGGCGTGTCAGACCTCTCCTGACCCGCCCGCTGCTCCCCTCAGCAGTGCACTTCGTCGATCTGCCTGTTCTGCTCCCCACTCTGTCTCTGGTGAAGCCTCTCGCCACCCCTCAGCCTCTGGCCTGTACCCCAGTTCTGTATGCACAAATAAATAAATCTTAAAAAAAAAAAAAAAAAAGAAGGAGGATGAATGGAGGTGAAGAGACAATCAATTGAATCCACTTTAAAAAGAGCCAGTTATATTCTCTGTGCTGATAACAAAGCAACACACAATTTAGTGGCTTAAAATAACAACCTGTTATTGACTTCCTGCTTTTGCAATTGGTAATATAGACTGGAAAGGTCTGTTCCCTCCAATTGTCTGTGGCCAGCTGAAAGGCAGTAGGAACTCTGGGTCTCCCTTGCTTGCTGCCTGGGGGTGGTTGGGGGTGAATGGCCCCAGGACGCTCACCCTCCAGCCATGCTGACAAGTGCCCTGAGATCATGAGCAGCAGTGTGCAGGCTTCCGAGGCCTAGGCTTGGAGCAGCCATTTAGACTGCACTTACTGGCCAAGGCATGTTATAACCTGGGCCACACTCACGTGGGGGAGAGAAGCGTTTCTTGTGGGCAGAACTGCACGGTCCTGTGGCAAGGGCGTGGATACGGAGAGACGATCACCGAGGCCAGTTCCTGCAAACATTCTGTCATAGTCTACAGCTGGTCTTGTGTTAGCTACAGAGGAAAATGACACAAATGAGGTTTTTGCTTTGGAAGATTTCAGATGGTAAAAAAATATAGGTACGAATTAATAAAGTGCTTCAGGGCAGGGTAAGGAACGTTCCAGAAGACAGCAGTCAACAGTGTTCCCCTAGGGCCCCTGTCCTGACCCTTAAACTCGCTTTCTGCCTGAGGAAGACAGGTCATTCAGCCCATGTTCCAGATACCACAGCTGCATACCACACCTCTCTAGGTGGAGGGCGGGGATGAGCTAAGCACAGGACTTGGGGTGCCAAGGACCTACACTGGGAACGTATTTCATGTCTGAAGAAGAGGAAGGAGGTAAAGTGGAGTAGAGTGAGTGAGGAGATAAATAGTGGAAGAGGGTGGAGAGGGAGGGTGCTTGCACCATGTGGGGTCCTCTAAGAAACTTGGCTCAATGCCAAGTGATGTGGGCACTGTGCACAGAGTTGGGGTGAAGGATTCCGAGATGGCAGATGCCAAAGGATGGAGGAGCCCAGACAGTCGAGTTCACTGGCGGGGAATTTTGGAAGAGCTACCTGCCCTGACCACCACACCAGTCCTCACCTGAGCAAGTGACAAGTGCTATCCTGTTGAGCAGGTGAGAATGTGGAGGGTCTCACAGCATCTGGCAGTGATGACCATGGTTAGCACACAGGGCTTCGAGCAAAGACAGCACGCTCCAAGACATGCCTTAAAGGCCGCCTTGGCTACTCGCGAGAGGCCAGCAGGGCAGGGTAGAAGTAGAGGCCAGTTTGCGAGGAGGTGACCCAGCGAGTGGCTGGCGCTGAGCTTAAATTGCCCTGAGACCTCTTGACCAGACAGAACGTGTCTAACTTTCCTTGAAGACTTGTTTTCACAGACGCAGCAGAGTGGGGTGCCGTGGGGTACTTATTCAGGGGTGACACAGCCCGGGCTTGTGCAGGGGTGGTTGACCTTGAGATGACCCCCCCTGGCTGAAACTGAGAGGCAGTTTGCTGATGCACAAACAACATCCAAAACCAAAACAGGAACAGGCCGGCCACCTGGGCTGTACTGAAAGGCGAGAGTGTCCACCAGCAGGAAGCTCCTGAATCCTGGCGTCTGAAAGCCTCCATTTTACGACTCTATGATCACACTTTGCCACGTTCATGATTCCCTCTTCTTCCACTTTTTCCTCCTTCTCCTCCTCTAAAGCCTCCTCCGGCCAGAGAGGCAGATCTGAGGTTTTTCTCCTTTCTCCTTGTCAGTTGACCTTGCAATAAAGCTTTTTCTTTTCTCAAAAGTCTGTGTCATAGTATTGGCTTTCTGTGCTTCAAGCAGCAAGACCATCTCTCAGCCACAGACCACGGCAGTCGTAGAGGAGACGGTCAGAGTGTTAGACCGTGGACAGCGTGTGAAGATTGCGTGTGAAGGTCGCACCACCAGGATTCTGATGAGACTGTTGATGTCAGGACTCAGATGGTCTCTGTGTCCTTTGTCTGAGTGAGTGGGTGACAGGGGTTGCTGCCTGTGGCCCTGGAGAGTCTGTCGGGGAGTGGCTGGGGCAGAAGATGAGTTGGCATTGGACGTGCTGAGTGTACAATGCCTGTTAGACACTGTCATGGGCTGAGGAGTGCCCCAAGTTTTATCTGTTGAAGCCCCAACCCCTGGTACCTCAGAATGTGACCACATTTGGAGACAGGAACTTTGAGTTAAAATGAGAGTGTAAGGAAGGGCCCTGATCCAGTCTGCTGATGGCCCCTAACAAGAAATTTGGACACACAGAGAGACACCAGGGGCCACTCCCACAGGTCAAGGGGAGCGGCGTCTGAAGAAATCACCTTAATTTGGGACTTCTCGTCTCAGAACTGTGACAAAATACATTTCTGTTGTTCAAGCCATCCAGCGTGTGGTGCTTGGGGGGAGGGGGGGAGGTGGGGCGCACCCTGTGCAGACAAGGACAGACACTTGGGTATAGATTTCCAGGCCTCTCTTCCTGCAGAGATCTAAACCCAATCTGAAGCCAGGTTGTTGAGGGAGGTTGGGTGAGTGCTAACATCTCCAGGAGCAGCTCCAGAGGATGAAGCTAGACGGCGGTACAGTCAGAGGACTCCTGCCGCCGGCCATGGGGACAGTCGGGTGCATGTCCCACCCCTTGCTACGCTGTCACTGGCCCTGCTGCTTCTGGAACATGGACACCTCTGTGGTCACTCTTGTCAGAAGAGATTCCACGCGGCACTTGCTTCTTCAGGACATCGGCTCCCAGCTGCAGACAGAAGGGGTGTCACGAGTTGGGAGAGCCTGGTCATGTCTGAGCTCCCACGTGAGGGAGATGTAAGATGGATTTCTGGCTTCGACATTGTGGGGGTCACAGCCCCCGCTGGAGTTTTCCTTTTCAATGGAGCTAGGTGACCAAGAGGAAGAGCAATGGCCCACAGAAGAAGGGGAGGGGAGCAAATGCTTATTGATGCTTACTGTGCACCAGGCCCTGTGCCAAGCACTTTACATCTATCACCATACTTAATCCTCCCTGTGGCCTTTGACGCTACTTAAGTGTCATTTCTTGAAGGAGGACACTTGCTTCAAGGAAGCAAATGACTTCTCCTCCCCCTCCCCAGTGACGGAACTTGAAAGGTGGAGTCAGCATTTGAATCCAGGAGTTCTGGTCCAGGAAAGGTTGTTCTGTGAAGAAACCCTCGATCAGTGAGATGAAGTAACTTGTCTGAGGTGACACAGAGTCTGTGTGACTGAGTCAAGACTCATCTAATGTGTGTTGGCTCCAGAGTGGCGCTCTGCCTGCCCTCTCTGACCTCCAGCAGTGATTGAGCGCCTACTGAGCACAGACAACTCCCATGGGCAGAGGCTGGTCAGAAACGCCCCACGTGGCAGCGTAACCCCGCACAGCGCTGGGAGAAGGGCTGACCTGGCATACGTGGTGGCGCCCCGGACCTCAGTGCCTCCCACAGTGCCCCGGTCTGGGCTTGCCAAAGCAGAGTGGCTGACCCCAGAGAGGTAGAACGAGAGGGACAGCCGCTGGGTCTCAGAAATCCCTCTGGACTCCAACATCTGTTATTCCAGCGCGCGTCAGCCGCAACGTGACCTCCCCAAGTCCCCTACCTTCTAGTCGCCCCTGGAGCCCCCCAGCTGCCGGCTTCCCGAGGCCCCCTCTCTCTCGCAGGCCCCAGCAGGAACAAAATGGTTTCTCTTCTCCGTTCTCTCCTGAACGAAAACAACTACCTAAGGGATTCTCGTGCATCCTCCACCAGCAGATAAACCCAGGAGAAGCAGCAGTGTGAGGTTGTAAGGGGTGAGGAAAGGTGAGGCGGGGGTGGGGGGTGTCCTCAGAACTGCAGTGCGTGGAGTCTCCAGCTATTTCCTTCCCTTCTTCACACCATTCCCTCATCTGTTCCCTCTTCCACAAGTATTTGCTGGAGACCTTTCTGCGACATGGATTGGAAATCAGCCACAAAGCAGGTGGGGCCTCCCTGCCTTGGGGTCCCAGCCCAGCACCACAGCAGGTGGGCAGGTGGGTAACTGCCTGCTGGTGGGGACAGCTGGTGACGTGTTGTGAGGCTTCCTGGAACCGGCGAGGCTGGGGCACTGTCACATGCCATCTCATTTACTTCTCTAAAGATTTCACCACGATGTGACAGGTAGAGATGTGACAGGCGGGTACAGGCCACGGGGACCTACTGGCCTATTTACAGATGAGCAAACCAAGGCTCAGAGAAGGGTGGAAACTTGCCTAGCCATGCACCCCACGGTTGGCCTGGCTCCACACCTGGCCCGCCTAGTGCCATCTAGCTGCCGCTAACAATTTTAGCACTTTCTACGGCCTCTGGAGAACAGGAGGAACGATTTGTGCAAACAACTAAGAGTGAACTCTGTGGTCTCTGGCCTGGGCCCCCCC